ATATATATGTATGTATACACAGTGAGAAAAAAATAAGTATTTGATCTTCCTGTGGCTTTGCAAGTTCTCCCACTTAGAAACCATGGAGGGGTCTGAAATGTTCATCTTAGGTGCATGTCCACTGTGAGAGACATAATCTAAAAAAAATCACAATGTATGATTTTTTAAATAATTTATTTGTGTGTTACTGCTGCAAATAAGTATTTGAACAGCTGCCAATCAGCACCAATTCTGGCCCTCCAAGACCTGTTAGTCCGCCTCTAAAACGTCCACCTCCACTCCACTTACTCTAAATTAGAAGCACCTGTTTGAGGTCCTTAGCTGCATAAAGACACCTGTCCACCCCACACAATCAGTAAGACTGAGGAGCGGGTCCGGCGGGAGGAGCCGGAAGTGAAACGAATTCTGGCGAGTAAAAAGTCGATTTCTAAGGCGGTTTTGGCATAATCTGGACTGTGAGTAGATTAAGATGGCTAGTTATAGCGGGGGATGTTCAGAAGATGAAACTATGGACACAGGTTGGGCTTTAGTAGAAAACAGAAAAGGGGGAGGAGGGAGAGATAAGAGTAAAAAAGGACTAAATGTAGGCAAAAGATCTTTGGAAGATGAGGAAGAAAGTGTTGAGATGAGGAAGAAAAAAATGACGGAAGAATCTAAAGTAATCCTGAAATTTAAAACGGGACAAGATATGATTGGGGTGAGTCCGATCAGCTTATCTAGTGGACTAAAGAAAGTTATCGGAGATGTGGAAATGGCTAAAGTCCTAAGGGATGGGAGCCTTCTTATTGTCTGTAAGAATGTTGAACAAAAGAACAAGACATTAAAACTCCAAATGGTATGTAAAAAAGAAGTGGTGGAGAGGAAAGTAGTAGGGGAAGAAAGAGGAACAAGAGGAGTGATATCGGGGATTCCGGTTGGAGAAAACTTGGAGGAATTAAAGAAAGTAATAAAAGGAGGAGAAGTTTCAGGCATTAAACGATTGCAGGCTTTTAGAAATGGGGAAAGATTGGACAGTACATCTGTGTTACTGGAATTCAAAGATAAAGTTAAACCTGATAAAGTTATGATTGGGTACATGAGTTTCAACGTAAGAGTTTATGTTCCACCACCTATCAGATGCTACAAATGCCAAAGGTTTGGTCATTTTGCAAATGTGTGTAGAGGAAAACAAAGATGTGGTAAATGTGGAGGTGAACACCCTTATGGGGAATGTGGAGAGAATCCAGTTAAGTGTTGTAACTGTGGAGGCAATCACACTGCAGCTTATGCGGGGTGTGTGGTCAGGAAAGAAGCAGCTGAAGTCCAGAAAATTAAAACTGAAAGAAAAATTACTTATGCTGAAGCAGTGAAAGAGGTGAAAAGTACGGAAAATGTTAACAAAACAAAGTCAGAAAAGAAAAAAGAGATAGAAGATACTCAAAATAATATCACATTAGAAAAGCTGATTCCATTTCTGGCATATATCATAAACTGTTCAGAGCAAGCAAGGACTAAGACTGAAAAAATAAAAATCATAGTAAAGGCAGCAGCAAAATTCTTTAATGTCAAAGATCTGTCATGGGAGAAAATTCAGGATGAACTTAGATGTGGAGAAGGATCATCTGAAAATGAAGCTCCTCAAATCGCTACATGACTCTAATATTACAATGGAATGCTCGAAGTTTAATAGCTAACGGTCAAGAATTTAAAGGGTTCATTAACGAATTAAATAAAAAACCAGACATAGTATGTATTCAAGAAACATGGCTTAAATCAACAATGCAATTTAGTATTCAAGGGTATGCAGTTTTACGTAAAGATAGAATAAACGGGAGTGGAGGAGGATGCGCCATATTTATAAAGGAAAACTTAAAATTTGCTCAAATACAATTAAATACAGATCTAGAACTTAATGCAGTTAAAGTTTGGACAAATAATGAAACTATTAAAATAATTAATTATTATAATCCTTGTAAGAAAATAGAAAAAGCAAAACTCAAAATGATCCTTAGACACTGGAGAGGGAAAATAATTTGGTGTGGGGACTTCAATGCACATAGCACTTTGTGGGGAGAACAAGATGACTATAATGGTGGGGTCTTAGAAGAAATAATTGAAGAAAAAGAAATGGTAGTGTTAAATAATGGTGTAGGCACTAGGGTAGATTTGGTAAGAGGTAAAGAATCAGCTCTTGATTTGACACTGGTATCTCAATCTTTGGCAGATAATTGCAACTGGAAAGTATATAAAAATAGCACTTTAGGTAGCGATCATTATCCACTTTTTATTGAAGTAGGAATGGATATAGAAGAAGAACAGGTAGTTAGTCAAGGGAAATGGAGGTTTAGGGATACAAATTGGGAAAGCTATAAAAGAATAAGTGAAGGTAGTATGGTGAATATAGATATAAATAAACCAATAAATGAATTAAGTTTAGCAATTAGTAATTGTATTGTGCATGCAGCAAACACAGTCATTCCTAGAAGTAAAGGGGTTAAAAAAAAGAAGATAGTTCCTTGGTGGACTTTAGAATGTTCAATAGCAATTAAATCAAGAAACAAGGCCTATAAAAATCTCAAAAAATATATTTGCTTCCAAAATCTAATAAATTATAAAAGAAAACAAGCAGAAGTCAGGAGAATTATAAGAAATGCTAAGAGGGATTACTGGAGTAAATACTGTGAATCATTGGGGAAAAATACGGCATTAGACAGGGTTTGGAATACCATTAAAAAAATGTCAGGTAAATCAAAAGAATACTTTTTCCCAGTAATAAAAGATAATGGTAACACCATAATAGATAATAAGAATAAAGCTGAAATATTAGCAAAAGCATTTACTAAGATACATAGTATGGAGAATCTTAGTAATATTGAAAAAAAGGGACGGGAAACGACATTAAATAATCACAGTGAGTTGCTATGTAATGATGAAGATGATGAGAATTTTTTGAATATGAAATTTTCGTTAAAGGAATTAAATAGAGCATTAAAAAACTCTAGTAAATCAACACCTGGGGAGGATCAAGTTAACTATATTATGTTGAATAATCTTAGTGAAAAAAGTAAGAAGATATTATTAGAAATGTATAATAAGATATGGGAGGAAGGAATTCTACCAGATAAATGGAAAGAGGCTATAATTATTCCCATTTGTAAACCTGGAAAAGATCCACATTTAGCTGAGAGTTATAGGCCGATAGCATTAACATCATGTATTGGTAAGGTGATGGAAAAGATGGTGAATAACAGATTAATATATTTTCTGGAATCTAAGGAGAAGATTAAACCATATCAATTTGGATTTAGGAAAGGAAGAAGTACAATAGATCCTATAATATATTTGGAACATGAAATCAGGAGGGCCCAGGTGAACAAAGAGGTATTAATAGCAATCTTTTTGGATATAGAAAAAGCATATGATATGTTGTGGAAAGAAGGTTTATTGATTAAAATAAAACAAATGGGATTAAGGGGTAAAATATATAGATGGATTAAAAACTTTTTAACTGGAAGAAATATAAAAGTTAGAATAGGTAGTGAAGTGAGTTCAAAGCATCAAATTGAAAATGGTACTCCTCAAGGAAGTATAATAAGTCCTATGTTATTTGTTATAATGATTGATGATATGTTTAGTAAAATAGACAAAGCTTTCGGAGTGTCATTATTTGCAGATGATGGTCTTATTTGGAAAAGGGGAAAAAATTTAGAATTTATAAATAAGAAAATGCAAGAGGCAATACATAATGTTGAAGATTGGGCCTTAAAATGGGGTTTTAGAGTGTCAATATCTAAATCCAAGTTTATTACTTTTACTAATAGGAAAATGAATGCTAATGTAAATCTTAAATTATATGAGAAAGATGTAGAAAAGATAGATCAGATTAAATATTTAGGAATCTGGTTTGACAAAAAACTTACATGGAAAATACATGTAAGGAAAATAGTTGAGAAAAGTAAAAAAATTTTAAATATAATGAGATGTTTAAGAGGTAAAGATTGGGGAGCTAGTGGGAAAGTATTAAAAACGATATACATAGGACTAATCAGGTCAGTAATTGATTATGGATGTGTTGTATATAGTTCAGCGTCTAACAGTTTATTAAAAGAAATTGATAGAATCCAATATCAGGCCTTAAGAATTTGCTGTGGAGCAATGAAAACTACCCCAGTATCAGCCTTACAAGTTGAAATGGGTGAGATGCCATTAGAGATCAGAAGGAAACAACTAGTCATTAATTATTGGGCAAATATTAAAGGCCATAAGGAAAACTATCCTCCAAATGTTACATTACAACCTTGTCAAGAAAGAGTAAAAAATACAAAAATTAATAGTTTTGGATGGATTATAAATAATGAGATAAGTGAGCTAGGAATAAGTCATTATTTAATTAGTCCTGTGGTGAATATTCCTGAAACTCCACCTTGGTTAACTGAAAATCCTGAAGTCGATTTAAGATTATTGGAAAAAGGCAGACAAATAGAAAAAAAAGAGGTCGAAAGGTATGTAAATAATGAATATGCTGAATTTCTACAAATATATACGGATGCTTCTAAAATGGTAAATGGTAAAATTGGAATAGCATTTATAGTTCCGGACTTAAATATTATGAAAAATAAAAGAGTAACAGACAGAATGACAGTCTATACAGGTGAGCTAATGGCTATTTTAATGGCTCTAGAATGGTGTGAAGAAACGGGAAAGAAGGAAATATTGATTTGTTCAGATTCAAGTAGTGCATTAATAAGTATTTTAGAACAGAATTCAGATACAAGACAAGATATCATATTGAATATTGGTCAATTAATTTTTAGAATCAAAGAGTTTGGATCCAGGGTAAAGTTGATTTGGATTCCTGCTCATATTGGAATAATAGGAAATGAATTGGCGGATCAATTTGCTAAAAGTGCAGCGAAAAGGGATAAGGTTGAAGTAAATATGAAAATAAGCAGAAATGAAATCAAAAGTATAAGTAAAATATATTTTAAAAAGAAATGGCAGGAATTATGGGATGGAGAAGAAAAGGCAAGATTTTATTATAGCATCCAAAGGAAAGTAGGGGAATGTAGGGAAGGAAATAGAAATAGAAGAGAAGAGGATATTATATCTAGACTAAGATTTGGGCATACGGGGCTGAATAGTACGCTGAAAATAATTAATAAACATAGTACAGGTATGTGTAATTTTTGTGGAGAGTCAGAAACGGTGCAGCATATTCTTCTAGAATGTAGTAAATACAGCCGGGAAAGAGAGTTGTTAATTAGAGAGATGAATAGTAATAAAATCAATTTAGATGTTAAAAATTTGCTGCAAAGATCTTCTGAAAATATAATTTTTAACAGCATTTTTAGGTTTCTCAAGATGTCAGGCATTATGGGGAGAATATAATGATAGGACATCTAATCTATACTCCAGTCTGGAAGGTGGCGGTAATGCACCTATAAGTTGTTTGCCAACCGCCATTAAACATAAAAGAAGAAGAAGAAGAAGAAGAATCAGTAAGACTCCAACTACTAACATGGATAAGACCAAAGAGCTGTCCAAAGACACCAGAGACAAAATTGTAGACCTCCACAAGGCTGGAAAGGGCTACGGGGCAATTGCCAAGCAGCTTGGTGAAAAAAGATCAATTGTTGGAGCAATTATTAGAAAATGGAAGAAGCTAAACATGACTGTCAATCTCCCTCGGACTGGGGCTCCATGCAAGATCTCACCTCGTGGCGTATCAATGATCCTAAGAAAGGTGAGGAATCGGCCCAGAACTACACGGGAGGAGCTGGTCCATGACCTGAAGAGAGCTGGCACCACTGTTTCCATGGTTACTGTGGGTAATACACTAAGACGTCACAGTTTGAAATCATGCATGGCCCGGAAGGTTCCCCTGCTTAAATCAGAACACGTCCAGGCCCGTCTGAAGTTTGCCCATGACCATTTGAATGATCTAGAGGAGTCATGAGAGAAAGTTATGTGGTCAGATGAGACCAAAATAGAACTTTTTGATCTTAATTCTACTCGATGTGTTTTGAGGACAAAGAATGATGAATACCATCCCAAAAACACCATCCCTACTGTGAAGCATGGGGGTGGAAGCATCATGCTTTGGGGGTGTTTTTCTGCACATGGGACAGGACGACTGCACTGTATTAAGGAGAGGATGACCGGGGACATGTAGTGAGAGATTTTGAGGAACAACCTCCTTCCCTCAGTTGGAGCATTGAAGATGGGTCGTGGCTGAGTCTTCCAACATGACGATGACCTGAAGCACACAGTCAGGAGAACCAAGGAGTGGCTCCGTAAGAAACATATCAAGGTTCTGGAGTGGCCTAGCCAGTCTCCAGACCTGAACTCTATAGAAAATCTTTGGAGGGAGCTCAAACTCCGTGTTTCTCAGCAACAGCCCAGAAACCTGCTGATCTAGAGAAGATCTGTGTGGAGGAATGAGCCAAAATCTCTGCTGCAGTAAACCTGATGAAAAACTACAGGAAACCTTTGACCTCTAACTGCAAACAAAGACTACTGTACCAAATATTAATGTTGATTTTCACAGGTGTTCAAATACTTATTTGCAGCAGTAACACAAATAAATTGTTTTAAAAAATCATACATTGTGATTTCCGGATTTTTTATTTTAGATTATGTCTCTCACAGTGGACATGCACCTAAGATGAAAATTTCAGACCCCTCCATGATTTCTAAGTGGGAGAACTTGCAAAGTCACGTCACAGGGTGTTTAAATACTTATTTTTTCCTCACTACGTGTATATATATATATATATATATATATATATATATATATATATATATAT